TAATACACGGCCTCTGCAGTCTTTGGTATCACACAACTAATGCTATACTGTGAAGCACAAGTGGTCCAGCAGTCCACTCCTTCCCCCTCTTGTATTTGGTGGTTCTCTTTTACAGTTTCGCCAATATGACCACTGTCACCATCGTCCTTCGGCACAACCGTACCCAGTCCCCCCCCCCCTACGTTGTAGTTGACAAAAAGCGCATGTTATAAATTTGAATAGAACTACTTCAGCGACGTATCTTTGTGTTCTGATGTTATCAAACTTTTCGTTATTGTTTAAATACTTGAACAAGATGTGATTGATATCGTCAATTATATGAGTCCGAATGGTAAGGTACTTACAGCTTATCGCATGAGTCTTACACTCTCAACATTAGTTAATTCTTTAAATTACGTTGCCTATAATTATTGTTTTGAAGGTGTATTTCTAGGTGTATATTCTATACACTTGATGATGAATATGTTATAACAAATAATAGGACACATGATAATAGAAGTACTTGTACATTTATTAAACAAATGTAAGATACATACAGAGTAAGAGCATCTGTAAGACGACCGACTTTGCTATACAACCACTATGCCATGACTTATGTCCAAGATTAGTACGCACTTACAACCACATCAAACCATACGTTTAAAAAAAGTATTCATGTTCTGCTCCTGGACAATTATCTGTTAAAATTATCGCTTTGTTTTTCAGGTTTATTATTTTGTTCAAATAATGTTTATACTTTGCCATTCGTGTAATATAAAATAACATTTAGTCTTTTTCCAAATTATATAACGGAACGTACTGTTATAAAAAAGTCTCTAATTATTTTGGAACATAAAAATCCAATGACCTCACTATAGGTTGTCATAACAAAATAGCTCTTGACAGTTGATTAAAATTTTTACTATGCCTAAAGTATTTATATTTATTGAAAGACAACTTAAACGATAATCTAAGTTGCATTTTAAATCTTCAGTATATTGATTAAGAACTATCCAAAGATTTAATTATCTAAATAATATTACTTATATTACTAAAAAAAAGTGGTATTTTGGTATTACCTACTACCCTTACCATTCTGATAAAAAAGTAGTTACAAAACAGCGTATGTTTTTGAAATCCCTAACAGAAGTGAAACCTTTTTTAAATATCTGATCAAGAAATTATTACTTATGTGGAATAGTGTAAAACCTGATAATTAGATTTTGACCTCATCCTTTATCACCTTTATCTTCACTTTAGCATCTTAATAAGGTTACATATAACTAACCGTAGAAAAATGAGGTTTTTTTTTAAAGTACAAAGTAACTTTAATAAAACTTTGGCTTAGTCATTTGTTTAAAATCATGGAAAACGCTAATACTAAAGATGATTACTGGCTGGATGAAATAGTAGGTAATGAGATGTGTTACCTGACCTGATTTTTTTCCAGAAATACTTTTTTACCAACTGCTTGCAGTTGTTATTTCTGCTTAAAAATTGTATTTTAATAGATTTGTAATCTGTGATGGGATTCCATTACATAAACAATCATCTATACTTGAATTTGCAGCTAACAGAACTTGCTCAATTTTTTTAAAAAAAAGCTAATGTACTAGCAGGTCTCTACGAATGTTGTTCAATATTTTGATTGAAGAGTCAGAACAGGCATAGAAATATAGACTGTGGTGTTTTTGCGTCCACTTCATCTCTCCCCTAGGGTAATTGTAGGAAAATAATGGTGGGAAAAAGTGATATTGGTAAAAGAAAACCTCTGTACTATAAAACGGGTTACGAATACTTGTGCTTTAAGATGGGGTCCAAGCGCTATCTCTCTCTACTCCTCCCATAGTGGTCTCTCGTTTTCTACTTTGTACTGATAGACAATCGCTGTTTTTTGTTCCTCGAAGGAAGTGTGGCAAAGCCACGTGACCTTTGAAGGTCTAATGCCTGAAATTATGTGGAAATAGTAGGAAAAGTACGATATTGCATCAGCTTGTGCTGTTAGACGACAATAAAAAGATGGTATAAATAAAGGATATTAATCCTGTGGCAGTTCTGAAGATCTCGTTCTGTTGGATAATAGTAAATCTGATATGTATGTATCTACTAGCGGCCCCCCCGTCTCGGCTTCGCCCGAGACTCACTAAATGGAACACTGTAATGTGTTGACATGTAATGTGATGCGTTATCAGTTAAAAATGTTACATATATTTCTGACACTTCTCAGAACAAAAATCTTCTTATTAAAAACATATTTGTTCGGAATCCATACAGTTGATTTTGTCAAATAAAAAACTGTAATAAGTGAAAATAATATAATTATGCTGAAAAGTACCGTACATTCCTTATGCCATAATATAATATTATAATCGGTGGCCCTGAAACGCCGTTGAATAATCTATGAACAGAGCTATTTCTTTAAGCTATACAGATTTAAAACTCACAAAAAATATATAATTAAAAATTATTTTTTTCTCTAATCTTACAACTTTATCAACAAAGCAACAAAATCCTGGAGCTTAATCTATACATTTTTTATCGCCACAAAAATATAAATACGTATTCTACGTATTTAAAAATCTAGAAGATTCAAAATACTACTATAAGAATAATAGTAGAAAGCCGATCTCTCACTTGAAAAATTCTTTATTTATCGATTTCAATGCGTGATTTTTCTCAATGCCTAAAATTGTGTTCATTAGATGCATTTAAAGTTTTTTTTCGTATTCGCCCTCTTACGACTTAAGGCATGGTCATGACTTTAGTGAGCCGTAAAGACTGTTTTTTTGTCAACTTTGGTATGTTCTAATATATTTGTTAGCGAGGTAGTTTGACGTCCGATTACCCTAAAAAGGACCGGTGAACTTCTTCAGTAAACTCTTTTTTAACTGGAGTTTCCAGCAAATGTGACTGCCTAAATACCTCAGGGTGGTCTTCCCTGGCCTATTATTGTAGCACCACACTAATCGGGCAGAAAACTACAATGTTTAAAGGTTTGGAGCTAGTTGTAGAGATTTTTCCCAACGTCTCCTAGTATAACGTCGAAGACGTTGGTGTCTAAAGCACCTTTTTTATTTGCAAACTCAGTTGTTTCGGTGATCTCCAATGGATGTCCAGCATGAGGTTCTGAGAATTCAGCTCGTGAGCTGTATTTGTTTTTTTTTTGTATTGAGTAATAATCTTTATTTTAATAATATGGATAATTAATGTATTTCTTTATTAAAGCAACTGAATAATAATTTGTTCTTTGAAATACAATTTATTTGGGTCACTTTAACAAGGTTCAGCGTAAATTTTATTACTGATATTTTACTTACATCTATCACTGATTGTTGTTACTGCTGCTTCAGAGTTCCCTAATGCTCCGTGCTGTAACCGTCAGTGTTTCCTTAAACTACACGAATGAGTTCGTGGCCAGTAGGATGTTGCGATTTCTGCTTTCTCTGCTATCGCCGGAATCATTTTTGTTGGGCCTCCTTTGCTGTACCTCGCTCCTAAGCGTAGTCCGATACTATTGATATTCTCGCTACGCACTCAGCCAACACGTTATGTCTTACGTGAATAAGGTACTCACGAGTCGCGAGAGTCAAGAGTTAACTAAAACTTTAGAGGACAGGTGACAGACGTAAAGATAGCGATTTTTCCTCTTGATGGTGCGTTCTTATAGTATCAGAGCGAGTAAAAGAGGCCTTTGGTTGAATTAGGTCAACTAATGAGCGATGTTCTTGCAGACTGCGTTGACAGTTGCACGATGATGTTACATGTTATGATTTTTCATATTAGTAAATAATACAACAGTACCAATCGTATTTTCTGACAAGTGCGATTGAGTTTTTTGGTCAGTGATGATGAAAGCTCGTATCAGCAATATAAGAACGCCCAATACAAGTTCAATTGTTACAGTTAGTTTAAAAATTTAAAAACTAATTATTCTGGGGATTTTACAATCAATTTCGAACATAATAAATTAATGTATGTATTACAATTTTTTAATTAGTATACATTATCAGAATCAAACAATTATTGAGCAAGTAACTATTCATTCATACATATTTGCATTTTTACAATGAGGCTGGCCGTATTCTATGTCAGCATATTATGAAATATTCACCTTAAAGCTAGTACACACACGCACACACATAAACGACGTACGAGCTCCTCTTGTCATACGAGCTTGCTTTATTTTCACAATACGTCTTATCTGAATTTTGACGGACGGATAGTTTTTAGTTATAATATAATTCGTATCAACTCGGGATGTAACACCCCCCTCCTTAGATTGATCTGAGAACTACAGATCGATCGAAAATTCTCGCGAGCTGATGAGACGAACTATTACAATAGATATTAATTTATCTTCTTCTTCTATTTTATTTTATCCAATTTTTTTTTTTTTTTTTTATAGAAAAATGATTAATCAATCATTTTACACTCTTGCTTTTATCGTAAAGCAGTGCAGGTATCAAGTTGTTCAGTTAACATGCGTGCCTTAGGTATTAATCATGCTGTATGTTTAACCCATATATTTTTGTTTTGTTAGTTTAATGATTGAAGTATTATGTTTATGGTGTAGGTAGAATCTTTTTCAGTGTCATGCAGTAAATATAGTGCTAATGACGTTTATTAATACTGTAGGATAGTGGTTTGGCATTACCAAAGACAAGGTAAAAGAATAGAAGAGGAGCGATGTGATAAATTTTTTATTGCTGATTTCCTTGTAGACTTTCTTAGCTTGAGATCAAACAATCAGAGTTTTTCTGAAAATGAAATAGTATGTTAATAACGTATAGTTATTGAATTTGTGAGTTATATATTAAAAAAAAGCTAATGTACTAGCAGGTCTCTACGAATGTTGTTCAATATTTTGATTGAAGAGTCAGAACAGGCATAGAAACAGTAAGCAAGACTATCTTTTGTGTAAAATAATAGTTTTAAATAAATCTATTTTTTTAACTTTTTAGCTTTTGTCTGATTAAACTAATGTGAATTTTTATTTCAGGCCTCAATGGATCTTCCTCCAGATAAGGCCAAACTTTTAAAGCAGTATAATAACGAGAAAAAATGGGACATCATATGTGATCAAGTAAGTATTACATTAGTTTTTGACAAGTAGGGGGAGACTGGGTACGGTTGTGCCAATTTTTACTTGAGAGCCCGTAACTTTAAAAGTATGACACTCAGTGAAATGAAAATTGTTGGGTATGATAAATTGAAGACTTCTCTACATGTGTGTATAAAAATTATGACTGCAGGTACAGCCGTTCACACGTATCACAACCGATCACACCCCAGAGGCGCTTGTAACAATGCTTGGGGACCGATGTGACAGGTTGAAAAAAGTGCATTAGAACCGTTTTAAATTACTTTCATTGTATTTTACGTTCAATATAATGTAACAGCACCTTGTTTTTGGAGAAAACATTAATTTAATTAAAGGCATAAAATTTGGAACATTTTATGGCTTACATCTACTTTTGAACAGTATAATTTATTATTATAGATATTATATCCGCTACTATACCCAAAGTGTATATCCGCGCCACGTAGTAGGTATTTTGACAACGGCTGTTACTTCTCCTTAGAAAAGACTCTTTTGTGAGCAACGTAACTTATACTGACGCTACCCCCGTTTTCCCGTTCGCATAGGCTGCATCACATTTATGAACATATTGCAATAATATCATGTGATTTATTTGGTGCATTTCTACAGTTTTTCGTATAGAAATCCCCTAATTTGTATCATCGTTTGCCTTTGAACATCACACGCACCTATTTTTGTTCTCCTCGAACGTTCACGAGGCATGTAAAAAGAAAAAAACTAATTTTACTTGTCTCACAACCGTACCCAGGCAGTATGTCACAATTGAACCCACCGCACTCATTCAAAACTAAAAAAAAATCACCATGTAAATACAACATAGCTGACATAAAAAGTAACCATTGCTTTTTATGCACTAATGTGTATCTTATAACGTGGAAAAATACTCATCGCTCGATCTGTACATATACAGCGATAATTGCAAAAAAAATTCAATGACAATACTTACATTTCACTCCCCAAAAGTAATACACGGCCTCTGCAGTCTTTGGTATCACACAACTAATGCTATACTGTGAAGCACAAGTGGTCCAGCAGTCCACTCCTTCCCCCTCTTGTATTTGGTGGTTCTCTTTTACAGTTTCGCCAATATGACCACTGTCACCATCGTCCTTCGGCACAACCGTACCCAGTCCCCCCCCCCCTACGTTGTAGTTGACANTTTAATACTATTTAAATATTCTGTAGGAAAATTAATATAAATATTATCGTCTGCTTTATCTACTCCCTTGTGAGTTGCTTTATCAATACTATAGTACGTTACTAATGTTTCCACCATATTATGAAAAATTTTTTTGTTCAAAAAATGAGTGTATTCATTGAGAAATGTTAATATAGCTTTACTTATAAATGAATCATCATCATTGTTAAAAATTTTAGAACATACATTTGTTTTCCATGTCTGAGGAATTATAAAAGTATTAATTTTTCCTTCTATATCCAGTAGCAATAAAGAAAATTTCTTATCAATAATTAATAAAGGCCAAAAATTGGAAAGTTTTATGGTTTTTTGGACAATAGTAATTTTGCTTCCGTTTCTTACTACTGGGAGAATTTGACGAAAGTCTTCACCTAAAATTATTATTTTATTTCCATAAGGTTTATTACTACTAGATAAATCTTTTAAAGTCCTATTAACGATTTCTAACGCTTTTTTCGGTTTCATAGAAGCTTCATCCCAAATAATTACATTAACATTACTTCATTTTTGTTTATCTGGCTCAAACTGGAAAAATGCACTTTCTATAGTGCTCAAGTCTAAAGGAAGTCTGAAAGTTCTGTGAGTGGCCATTCTCTTTGGGAGCAGAATAGAACCAATACCTGCCCAAGCCATTGTAAGTTTTTTTTTTTCAATTGATATGAAACAATAAATTAATGTTTTGTATAAAAAAGTTTTTCCAGATACACCAGGACCATTGATGAAAAAGAGTTTTTTTTCAAATTTTATTATTTCTTGAAAAATTCGACTTTGATCATGACTGAGTTGTGAAAACATTTCATAAAAATTATTCTTTTATCATTGTCAGTATCGATTTTTTTTTCGTCGTTTCTGTTGGTTCTGGTAAACTGAAATCTTTACAAGACATATTTTCAGAATTAAAAATTTCGTTTGATTGTAAAAGAGCTTTATTTTGATCATCTTTACAATCTTCAATGAAAAATTTTTTGTATTTGTTCCAAATAATATTACCAAAAAAATTTTCAGACATAATAAACCATGCGAAAAATTTTCGTAGTTGAAAAGGCAGCATAACGTTACATGCTTCTTGAAAAATTATATCGTTTGGAAAATCGAGTTTTACTAATTCCATAGAAATAGCTGTTATTAGTCAGGAAAAATAAGAAGTGATTGTTAAAAATTTATGTAATTAATTATGATCAATATACATTTATTACATGTATAAATTTTAAGTAACAATTAATATAATTCGGGTTTTTTTCCATACTTCGTAAATGTAATTTGCAATTACGGGGGTTGGTGCGCAGAGTACGCAGGGGGCATATATAGTTATAAGAGCCTAGAAATATCTATTAACACATACAGGATTTACAGCTTATTTAAAAAAGGGAGTCACTATAAGAAAAAATAAAGCTCACCAACAAAAAGTCAAGGGCATATCTCTCTGTCTATATAAACTTTACCACTTTCATTTGAAATTAGCAGCTTGTTCTTCATATATTCTTAAAAGCAGACCAGTAATCATTTCCCAGCGTAGAAAATTTATTACTGAGTATTTTCGAAAAATGCCATAGTCTTCCGAATTCTGTAAAACATACTTCAACATATTATTTTCATACTAACAATTAATTTTATAATTTCTGAAGGCTTTTAAAAATATCAATACAAACCTTATTTTGAAAAAATTACACTTATAACACAATGAAAGGAGGGGTTGGTGCGCGGAGCGCGCAGAGGGGCATAGTCCCACTAGTATATATAAATGTATATATAATTTTTTATAGGTAGCAACGTTTTACTTTATCAATGTGTTTGTGAATTATTCTTTTATTTCCTGATTCTAGTATGACGTTATTATTACAATGTATTTCGGAAATCTTAAAAATTCCGTTATAAAATCTATCTAATTTTTTTTCCGGGGTTCTTTAAGTACATGGACTGTCATTCCAATTTCCAAGTTCTGTGGTTTTGACTTATTGTCATAACGTGTTTTTGTATTCTGTTTTGATATTTTAAGTCTGTCACGAGCTATCTCTTGTATTGTACATAAACAGCGGGTAAGATCATTAGCATATGAGCTGTATGTTTCTAATTCGAATTCGTCCGTAAGTGGATTTAGGGAACGTGCCCGTCTACCAAAGACAAGTTTGAAAGGTGTCAAGCCTGTTGCTGAATGAACTGAAGTATTATACTTATGCGTTGCAAAAAGAACCATTTCATCCCAATCATTTTTGTTTTTAGCGTTAGTTCTCAAGAAATCGTTTAACATAGCGTGGTTTCTCTCTAATAAACCATTTGATTGTGGGTGATATGCACTAGTTAGAGCCAAACGAAATCCATAAATTTTTGATACTTCCGTCAATACTTGATTAATAAAACTTTTTGATCTGTCACTGAGAATAATTCTAGGAATGTCGAAAGTTGAAATAAAATATCTTGATAACACATCGGCAATAGTTATTGCTTGTATATTAAGAACAGGAACTGCAATAAAAAATTTTGTAAGTGAGCATGGCATTGTTAAAATGTGCTTATTTCCAGATGTACTTTGTGGGAAAGGGCCTACTGTATCTATTGCGACCTTGTAAAATACTTTTGATGGTGTGTGTGTACTTACCATAGGTTCCCTAGTTTTTGTATGGACTAATTTTTGTTTCTGGCAAATGTTACTTTTTTGTATGTATTCAGCAATGTCGTTGCGCATTCCTTTTCAGAAATATTTTTCTCTCATTCGTCGATATGCTTTTACCACTCTTCTATGACCTCCGAATAAACTAGTATGTTATTCAACTAATTTTTCCTTTCTATCTTCTAGGGTTAGATAGAACATGTGCAAAAACAAACTTATACGAAGAGTTACGTCACTTTTCCCTTACAGTAATTAATGGCATTTCTCCTCTAGGGAGATTATCGGTGAACTTATTTTTCCTAGAAATACGAGCGGTGGTAACTTCCTTTACTGATATTGCATCTGCAAGATTTTTAAAGCAGGTTCGTAAAATGCTAGGTTTTATTTCGTCAGTAAAGTTTTTGTTCACGACTAGTGAAAATATGTAGCGATTTCAGTTTTTCGTAGTGATAACGTCTTTCAATTTTGGTTGAACATTGAATTATTCTTTTTTTGATATAACTCCTATATCTAATGATAATTGTATATTGATTCAAAAACTGCAGTTTCAGAATTAAAATGGATGTAGTTATCCCTTGCGTAATTTAAAATTTCATGAGTACTTAAAAATGTTACTTTATTTGTTTCATAAATTATATTAAAGGGATTTTTAACGGGACTTATATTTTTTGTTACTTTTTCGCTTCGAGCTAAGTTCCAATTTTACTGTATGGGTTCTAACGCTGCTGTATGGCTTGCTTGCAGTAAAATGTTTTGATTAGAAGTTTTCTTGGTATCGTAATCAATTTTATTTTCTATGTTTTCCGATTGAGAAGGGTTGTCGTCTCTTTCTTTGTTACTATTTTGGTCTATCGGTGATAAACTTCTTCTGTATAGCTCATCATTAGAGTTTTGTAATTTATTTTTGGTAGGACTATTTCTGTGTGATTTAATTGGAGATTTTGTTCTTCTGGGATTTCCGTTTGCAATAAATTTGTTCATTGTTTCATCAATCCATTTATTTACTATAGTAGGAGAAATTGAATTTTGAGGTGACAATGGAAGTAAATTTATTTGTTCTTGATTTAATTAACTGCCGTCATGACGTTTGCTAAGAGATGTAGGTAAAAATTGTATTTTTCTAAAAATGCTGTTATTAGTATTTCATTTTTCTTATTGTAACTATCCCACCATGAT